GCCAGCCTGCAGCTGAGCAAGGTGACCGTCCTGGGGGTGGTCCCAGCCCCCCAGCAGGTCCTGTCCAATGGCATTCCTGTCTCCAACTTCACCTACAGCCCTGACACAGAGGCAAGGAGCCCACAGCCAGGGCCAGAGGGCTGGTGAGGGTGAGGGGTGGTGCCAAAGACCCGGTGCTGAGCTGGGCCTTACGCGGGGTGGTGCCTGGGGGAGTGGGGAGGACTGGCCCCCAGCGGTTGTGTCTGCCCTCTGCCTGTGTCTGTTTATGGTGGTGGTGGGCTGTGTTTAAACAGCAGCTTGCTTCCAAAGCCAAGTAAGGCTGCCAGTGCGAGGCCTGCCCTCCCCCACCTCATGTCCCCTCTGCAGAATGCCAAACCCTTAGGGTCTTGCCTCTGTGACAGTTGTTGGGTGGTCAGGTTCTCCCCTCTGCCCCCCAGGCCCTGGGCATCCCTGTCTGGCTGATGATGGGGCAGCAGTTCCTCATCAGCTGGTCCTGACCGGTGTGCTGATGCTGCCCAGGAGGCCCCTCCCAGAGGCCCAGCACCTGTGCGCGCTCATCCAGGTGGGTGGGTCTCGGGGTCGGGAGCACTTAGCCCACATTGCCAGGCACCGACCTCCCTCCTGGACTCTGAGGTCCTGGGGAGCCACCCTGTGTCTGCAATGTCACGCTGGAAGCCTGCCACCAGCAGCTGTCACTGGAATGCGTGACGTCAGCCGCCAGCAGCTGCCTGTCAGTGACGGCAGAGGTGGTGGTGCTGGGGATTGGATGCTGTACTTGCCAAGGCCACACCTGACTGCTTCCTGGGCATCTGCCCCCGCCAGCAGCACGGCTGTCCACCCGTCTGTCGAGAGTGGGCTTGGGGAGCTCTGGAGAATTCTCAAGACCTGGGGGAACCCTTAACCATTAAGTGCAAATGTTTCTAATAAAAGGGTCTTTGCATTCAGGCTTCTGCTGGTCCTTGTGGATTCAGGGCAGGGAGGATGTCCCCAAGGTGGCTATACCCTCATGGTGGCACATCGCTGCACTGCCTCCCTCCTGTCACCTCCCATCCCCACATCACCTCCCTTCTGCTCATCCCCCTTCACCTTATGTCCCCACATTGCCTCCGGTCCCACATCACCTCCCATGCCATCACCTCCTGTCCAGTATCACGTTTTCTAGAATTTTATGTGAATGGAATCATTCAGCAGGTAATGTCTAATACTACCCAACAGCTTGAGATTCACCCATGTGTGCCAACACCTTGTCCTTTTTGTTGCCAAATTGTTTCCCACTGTACAGATATGCCACGATTTGTTTATTGACTTTTAATGGACATCAGGATTGTTTCGTATTTCTGTCTATTATGAATAAAGTGTGAGGAGCAGCACAGACAAGCCTTTGGGTGTGTTTTCGTTTCTCTTGTGCAAGTACCAAGGGGTGTGTGTCAGGTCGTGTGGTGGGGGTTGGGAGGCAGGAGGTGGCAGGGCGTGTTTCACAAAACCGCGCCCGTGTCCAACCAGCTGTGAGGACCGCGGGGGCCCCCCCTCAGCACACCGTGCCGGCCTCTCCAATTCCAGCCACTCCAGTAAGTGTGGGTCTCACTGCGGTTCTCATCTGCACGTCCCTAATGACTAACAGTGTGTACCTGTCACCCATAAATCTTCGGTGATGTGCCTGTTTAAATTTTGTGCCCATTTTTTACTTTGCTTTCATATGTTCACTGTTTTTCTATCATTACTATAACAAATCACTGCACACTCAGAGGCTTAAAATAACACAATTTTATCAGCTGTAGGCCCACAGTTTGACATGGGACTCACCAGGGCGGCCGCCTCTGTGGGAGCTCCAAAGGAGAATCCATTTCCTCGCTCATGCAAGTCGCTGGCACGGTCGTCTCACAAGTGTACAAGCCTGACGTCCACTTCCCGGCTGGCCAGATGCCTTCTGGGCTTCTAGAGGCCGCTCCGGTTCTCGGCTGGCAGCCCCTTCATCTCATCTCCCAGTCCAGCAACAGCGGGTCGAGCCCCTCTCGTGCCTGAGGCCTGCCGCCTCCTGCTCACTGCGCTCTGGCTGACTGCGGCCCAGGCCTCGCCTATCAAGGGCTCATGTGATCAGACTGGGTCCGTCTGGATAACCCAGAGTAATCTCATGCCAAAATCTTCACCACTTCTACAAAGTCCCTCTTGCCATTTATTGTGACAGTCACAGGTTCTAGGGGTTAGGACGTGGGTACATTTGGGGACCTTTATTCTGACCACATGGAAGTTCTCTGTACCAAGTTACAAGTCCTTTGTCAGGTACACGCTTTGCATAGATATGCCTCCAGGCTATGGTGGTTGCCTTTTTACTTCCATAACAATGTCTTCTGAAGAGAAAAAGGGTTTAATTTTGATGAGTCTAATTTAGAATTATCTCAGCCTTCAGAAGAAATCTTTGCTAAATCCAAGGCCACTTTTCTCCCGTCCTAGAAATTTTGCAATTTTAGCTCTTCCATTTCAGTTCAGTGTCTGTATTAGACATGAATTAACAGCCAAGGTCCTTTTCTTTATTGCCTATGGCGATCCGACTGTCCGGCACCATCTGTTAAAAACATTATCCTTTCCCCCTTTAACTGCCTCAGTCCCTTTGTTGAAAATCCTTCGCCCACAAACCTGTGGTCCTTGTCTAGACACCCTGCTGAGTACAGACCCACCTTGGTGCCAACACCAGGCTGTTACTGTGGCTCACTGCTTCCTATGGGGCAACTGTACCCCCACTTTGCTTTTACGAAGTTGTTTTGGCTGTGCTAGTTCCTTTGTATTTCCATATAAATTTTATTGTCAACTTTTACCAAAAAGAAAGACTTGGTATTTTGATTTGGACTGTGCTGAATATATAAATCAGATTCAGGAGAACTGACAGCACCCGCCCTCCTGGTCCATGGGTACAGAACCTCTCCCCTGCACTCCTGTGGTCTTCGGTGCAGAGCTTGCTCATCTCTTCCCAACTTCATCCCCGAGTATTCGTATATTTGGTGCTCCTGCAATGGTGTTTTAGATTTCCTTTTCAAGCGTTCATTGCTAGCATCCAGGAATACCAGTGACTTCTTAAGCCTGACCTTCCCTAACTGTACTAGTCGTAGCGGCTTTGTTGTGGACTCCTTGGGATTTTCTACATAAAGGATCATATAAATGACATGAAGACTTCCTTTCCAATTAGATGCCTTTTACTTCCTTTTCTTGCCTTATTGCGCTGCCCGGACTCTCAGCCTGACGCGGAATGGAAGTGACGAGGACACTGTCCCTTTATTCTGAGCGCTCCGACTGTAACTGTGGGCCAGCCGACTTCTCCTTGAAGTTTTATCAGGTTTTGCTTCCTGTATTTCCTGCATTCCGAAGCATCGGTAGGTGCAGGGACATTTAGGATTGTCACATCCTTTAGACGAATCACCTTCGTGAACGACCCTCTCTACCCCTGGTGAACTGCTGTGACGTCTACTCTCCGATGCTGACAGGGCCCTCCGAGTTCACTCTGATTGTGTCCTGTGGTGGATTTTCCTTTACTTGTGCCTCACATTTCCTGTAGGCAGTGTGCTGTCATGTCACTTTATACCTCAGTCCAATGTCTCCCCTGACTCTGAATTTCACTGGGCTTTCCCCTTGCTCGCGCCCTCTGTAAATATAACCTTAGAGGGTGTCAGATTCCCTGCCTGACTGTTGGTTGAGATGTAGCTCACATACCATACGAGTCACTACTTTCAAAGTACAATTCAGTGTGTTTAGTCCCTTCACAGAGCTGTGCAGCCACCACCTCTACTTCCTGAACATTATCATTCCCACAAAGAAGCCCTGTGCCCATCAACGCTTGCTCCCCAAACCCCTCGGCCCCTGCACTCTGTCTCTGTGGATTTGCCTGTTTGGGACGTTTCATATAAACGAATCCCCTACTGTGGCCAGTCCCGTGCTTCTCTCAAGGCCCAGCCGCCTCCTAAGAACCCTCATCCCCTTATGTCAACGCGGTCCCGAGCCCCCAGTGGTGAGCACACGCTGCCTTTCCCGGCACTGCGGATGCCATCTGTGCCCCTGAACAGCCTGCATCCCAGATCACTGCCTACTGCCTCTGGCAGACACTCCCTCAGGGGAAGTTACATGCTCATCTCACCACTCCTGCTGCCCAAGAGCCAGGCTACTTCCAGAAAACCCCTACCCACTGACACCACCCACGTGGATGTTTCCCACACCCTCGCCAACATCTAGGGTAGTGCTTACCAAGCCTCTGAGAATCACATAGCACTCCTGAACCCCCACAAGGCCAAACATTTTCAGACAACTTGCACATTGTGCTGCGCTTTCCTAGACAGTGCTAGAGCCAAGCTCCTCAGGCCTCTAGCCTTCTGGCCTGTTTCCTGCTGGCTCCCCCACCACGCACCCACCCACCGTGACCCAGTGCCCATTAAGCCAGAGCAGTTCCAACTGGGATGGATTCCTTCCTTCCAGTTATTTACCCAGGCGTCTTCATCCTGCCCGTCTGCACCTGGGTACACAGACCCAGGGCCAACCCAGAGTCCTCACGGCCTCTGAGCTCCCATTCCCCACCCCCTCACCCGTCCCAAAGAAACGGGACCAGGGCCAGAGGGGGCTGTTTCCTCTCACCTACCACCTTCCTGGCTGGAGAGGGAGCACGGCGGCACATGGCCACGGCTGTGGGGTCACCCCCTTTGCTTCTGTTGAGCTAAGCACCCAGAACACACCGTGCCTGAGTCTCCATTTTCACCCTTTCTTGGGGACTCACAGGGGAAGTTCCTTTCATAAACTACACAATCTCAGATGCCTTGAGTTAGAATCACCTGATGAACTTTAACCAAGCTCCCCCAAAACCTGAAAATATAGACAACTCAACCATACGGAGGGACCCCGGGTAAGCCAGGCAGCTTTCTCCCTCTACTTTGCCATTTTAAAGATCAGAAAACAGTGAAATGCCTACCCAAGATTACACAGCAAGTCACTAGAAAAGCTGGTGACACCTTAAGAAATATAAATTAGGGTTTATGGGAAAAGTTTATATGTTTAATGAAAAAAACTTAAAGCAATGCATTATTTACATGAGGGTAAGAAAAAGTGGCAGAGCCCTGGAGCTTGCTGTGGGGTGCTCTGAGTCCACACCACCCCTACACAGAAACGGCCCCGAATACTCCCCAAGGGGGGCACACGTACATGGTGGCCAATTGCTCTTCAGTGTGCCAGGTTCTTCAAATCAGATCAGCAACTGGAGGCGAAGGAAGATACACAGTAAGGAACAATACAAACAAAATGAAAATCTGTAAACCTAACAAGAGGCTCACAACACATAACAGGAAAAAAAGAAGTGCACTAGACGGGCCTGGGATGCCTCTACGCGACCCGAATGCCACGGGGCTGTTTCCTCACCGTTCATCGGCATCTCGTCGATCTGCGTGGAGTAGTACTGCTCGATGTCCCGGAGGATGCGGATGTCATCGTTCTTCACGAAATTAATGGCCACGCCCTTTCGGCCGTACCGGCCCGACCGCCCGATTCTTCAGGCAGAGAGCAAAACCACCTTAGTAAGTATGGCAAAGGCGATGGCAGTGACTCCATCAAGAGTGAAGCCAATGAATGAGAGGGCCGCCCCCATACCTGTGTATGTACAGTTCTCTGTTATTCGGCAGGTCGTAGTTAATGATCAGGGACACCTGAGGGACATCCAGCCCCCTGGCCCAGACATCTGTTGAAATGAGCACGCGGCTGCAAAAGGGAAAGGATTTCAGGCAATCACCTCGGTCAAAGAAGTTCAAGACTGGCTGAGAGTCCAAAACAGACCAAGGCACTCCTCACGCTGGTCCCTCTGCCGGACTGAAGTGTTGGCAACAGTACCAAAAAGAGCCTCCCAGAGGGGCGTCAGGTGTACTTACTTACGTCTGTGTGCTACCTGATAAAAACACTTCAGCTACCTGTTACAGGGTATTTCACTTGCTTAGAGCCAGCCCTGTACCAGCAACTGGGACAGACACTTACATCGCCTAGCCACGACTTAGGAACAGTAGCCTTATGATTTTAGTGCCATGAAGAATAAATAAACAGTTACCAAAATAAGTAGCACGGAAACATCCAGAAGGAGGAAAGTAAAAGGAATCGCAGATGGGACGTAATAGGTAAAACGCACTTATGGAGCCAATTTAGACCACACACGTCAATGTCGATATTAAACAAAACTGGGCTGAAAGCTCCAATCCAGACAGTGATTATCATCAGACTAAAAGGAAAACAAAACCAAAGCCAACTATTCGCTGTTTGCATGAAACACGTGTGACGCTCAAGGCTCCAGAGAGGATGTGAGGAGCACACGGGGTGCAGGTGTGCTGCCCCAGGTGAGCTGGGACTTAGCAACAGAATGCAGTGCCACAGGTAACGACAGACAGTCTGTGATGAAAGTAAACCTCCTAGAAATACATTAATTCTAAGTCGATACTGATGAACGAGTTTTTTAAAAAAGGTCAGATGCAGGCGTTTCGAAAAACACAGTAACTGACATCGAAGGGGCGCGCCCAGGAGGTGCTGTGCCAATGAGCTCAGTCCTCGTCCTGTTCAAGCACACACACCAGCTGTCAAATGACCGTGTGTTAGGCCACGAAGCAAGTCTGAGGACCCGTCCAAGGAAAGCAATCACAAAGCACGCTCTCTGACCAGTGCAACTAAGCTAAAAACCAATTACAAAAAATCAAATGTCTACTTGGAAACAAAGGAACGCACTTCAAGGTAAAGCAGCCCACCCACCCAGGAAGGCCGGCTGTCCCCGCAACATGACCTGTCGCACCAGCAGTGGGTCCCCCCTTACTGGGAGGTCGTTTGACCACGGAGCTCAGTGGTGAGGGGACCCTGGCAGCCAGATGTGGACCGGCACCACCAGCAAAGAGCCAGCCAGCAGGGCCAAGTCCGGCGCAGAGCACGGCCGACCCACCTGGCGCCAGAGCGGAACTCCTTCATGATGGACTCGCGCTCCTTCTGAGGCATGTCTCCGTGCATCGACGAGACGGTGAAGTTGGCTTCTCTCATTTTCTCCGTCAACCAGTCAACCTGTAAATCAAAGGGCAGACGCTACTTAAGCTCCCAAACCAAACCAGGGATTGTCCTCAAGACCTTCTTTCAGTCACTTGCAAACCCAACGTGAACACAGGTGAAGCAAGCACTCCGAAACCTCACGACTAATCTTTACTCAGCATGTAGAGGAATTCATTTTTCTCAGCAAATATTGGGGCAAGAACCCCCTTAATCTGTTCCATGTAAATTTCTGTTTGTTTTTTTTTTAAAAAAGGCCATGTATCACTATTGACTTTTGAAATTTAAATCTGAATCTTCCTTGGAACGTGGCCCCCTCCTCCTGTCTCCAAGAAAGCGGCCTGTGTTCTGGGTGACGCCTGCAGCCGGCACCCCCGGAGCTGCTGAGCCCCGAGGCCCAGGGGCCAGACAGCCGGCCTGCAGCTGAGGCACCAGTGTCGCACCTGCCGTTTCCCTGGCTGCACCCCTTGTTAATGGACTGAGCGCAGCAGCCTCCGCACTCAAGGGCAGGGCTGGACAGTAGCCACAGGCCCCACGCACCCACACAGGAGGCCAAAGGCACTTGCTGCTGGCCCTTTACAAGAGTCCGAGCGACGTTCTGGGCCGGCTGCGCACCTTCCTCTTGGTGTTGCAGAAGATGACCGCCTGGGTGATGGTCAGCGTGTCGTACAGGTCGCACAGGGTGTCGAACTTCCACTCCTCTCTCTCCACCGCCACGAAGAACTGCTTGATGCCCTCCAGTGTCAGCTCGTCGCTGGGGAACGAAGGCAGACCCGTTCACGCACCTTCCAGCCACTATTGAGGGTGTACGCAGTCCAGGCACGGTCCCGGGTGCCAGCCTGCCCTGCAGCCCCGTGAGGCCGGTCACCCGACCCCTGCCCTCCCCACCAGCCACGTCCGCCTGAAGTCATGGCTCCAGTGCATGGACCCACGTCCTGACCAGCTGACTCCCAAAACACTGATGCAGAAATACTACCGGCTCACTCCTACTCATGGAAGCACTGGGTCATAGAGGAATGCACACGTGAAATCTGGCTTTTCAAAAAGAATTTTCGAATTTTAAAACCCAAATACAACCCAGGTTCTGTGTTTTAATATCACTCGAGAAGCAGGGAGCTCTCACCGTTTCACCAAGATGCGGATGGGGTCCGTCATGAACTTGTTGGTCATCTCCAGGATTTCGTGGGGCAGCGTGGCACTGATGAGCACCACCTGTGTGGCTGGGGGCAGGTACCTGTACACATCGTAAATCTGCTCCTTGAAACCTGGGAGGAGGGGCAGGACACACAGGGAATTCTCAAGGCTGCACACCTCGAACAGAAGGAGCACATCAAACATTCCCAGTACAACACAGTCCTGGCCAGAAGGTGCAATTTCACAGGCGACCTTCGCAGAGCTGGACCAAATCCGCGCATCCCCTCTCCCTGCCCTGCCCCGGCGTGCTCTGGGGACCACGGCCCTACCCCAGGAGTCCTGCAGGTCACAGGCAAAAGCTGCCCACAACTTCAGACACCTGCAGGTGGTCAAAGCCTAGTTCCAGCTGCTGCAGCCCTGTGCAATTTGCATCCACTGGAGCCACATCTGTCACATTTTAAGAAAATCCAAAGATCTGGATTTTTTCAAAACAATCTCCCACATATATCAAGTCATTATGTTGTACACATAGAACGAATATGTCTCACATCAGTTATACTTCAGGAAAAAACCTTCCCAATAATGCAACTAATTTACACCATTTCCTGTGGTGCAGGCTGAATAAGACATGTCCCCGGGCAGGACCTGGCTCACAGGTTACCACACCACAACCTTGCCAGGCCCGGGCAGGAGGGGGTTAGGAGGCAAGCGTGTGGGAATGCCCACTGCTGGGGCCCAGCCTCCGAGGGCTCATGAACTGACGGCGAAGTTCTGGCTGTGCAGACCATGGGGCCCAGGAGTGTGCCATTCTTGTAGGTCCCCAGGTGATGTGGATGCTGCCGGTGTGGCCGCCTCACCATGAGAGCTGAAGCCCTTCAGGACAGGAGCACAAAGAGCCACCCACAACTAACAGCTTCCCCAAAGGAACTGAGTGCTCGCGGTGACCACCTGTAAGTTAACTGCAGAGCAGGGCCTTGTGGTATGAGGCCCCAGGCAGAGGCCAGGTGGAGGGCAGCTCCTCCGGACAGCATCAGCCCCAGGCACCTCACACACCTGCTCAGGAGAGCGCCCAAAAAGAGCCCCGCTCTGCTACTGGTCACTGCTGAAAAGCAGGGTACCACCTCAGACCGCTCGGCCCAGAGCCTACGGAGACGACCCACCCAAGCCCCTGGCACAGAGGTGGAGGCACAGCGGGCGACGCGGCCAGGCACTGCCCTCAGCTCTTCCCCACGTGTAACCGGGCTCCCGAACTCAAGGTGACCTGTCATGACGCATCACCAGGCACCCTAAGAGGACGATGCCATCACTCAGGGTCCTCACACACAGGCCCTCAGGCACTTGGTAGAAACACAGGGAGAGCCTGGGACGTGTGCACGCCAGTCCCAGGAACTCAGCCTGAAGAAAGGGCCGGTGGAAGAGCACCAACAGCCCAGACGACCAATAAACCGGTACAACTACAGAACCGCTCGACGGCAGAGCGCCCTGCTCACACCCGCTTCAGCCAGCACCAGGCATCTCCGCACGCATCTCAACTCCACTTGGGCACCTGCGCTGACCCGCAGACGCGCGATCAGCAGGCTGTGTCGGCTGCGGCTGAGATGCTGTTCCGGCTGCGGTCTCGCAAACCACGAGCTTTGTGTACATAATCACCCTCAGGGTATAACTTTCTTTTCCACAAAGAAAACCCACTTATGTTCACAGCATTTTCATCAACTCCACATTTCATTTTACACTGTGAAAATCTAACAGTTATGTCAGTGGAAAACTAGTTCTTCGTTATTCATACCTTTATTCAGCATTTCATCAGCCTCATCCAAGACCAACATCTTGATAGCTCGAGTCCTCAAACTTCTGCGACGGATCATATCTATTAAGTCAGATGTGAAATGATTAGGCCTCAGGCCATGAAGAAAGAGCCAGCCATCTCAACCAGTTTTCAGAGCACTTCAAAGACCTCATCTCCACTTCTTCCAAGTTATCCACATGCAAAAATCCACCCTGCAGCAGAGCAAATTGGAAATGGCCCTAGGTTGTTTCTACCAACTTCCTGTAAACACTACTTGCAGCAGATTTTGGAGAAAAGCACTTACCGAAGACGCGCCCAGGTGTGCCGGCAACAACGTGCTGCCCGTAGTCCAGCTTCCTGATGTCCTCCCCCACGTTGGTGCCCCCGATGCACGCATGGCACTGGACGTTCATGTAGTCACCCAGAGCAAGCAGGCCCTGAATTAAAACGCAGGTTCATGTCCAGGGCCTGCTCGAGCCCACCTTCATGTCAGAAACAGCTGAGCCTCCCTAAGTGGAGGGCATTTCTATTCCAATCTAAGATGACCACCACGTACTATTTATGCCATTATTTATACCGTAAAACTACAAAAAGCTCAATTCTCCTTCTCTACCCTTTCCTGCACCAAAACAAAGTCAGCTTTGATGGTTTCTTATTACAAATGCAATACATGTTAACTACAGAGAAATCTTTTAAATACATAAAATTGTAATTCTACGCCCTCAGAGACAACAGTAACATTTCAATATATCCTTCCACAGTGTTTATAATATATAAGAACAAAGTAGTTACAATTATTTTCATTAAAATTGATTTTTGTTGAAAAATTACAATTCTAAGAGCAAAAAAAAAAAAATTGGAATCATACAAGCTACACTGACACGGACTCAGTACAAACCAGCAAGTTAAATAACACATATTTATGGCAAAATGTGAGGAATGAAAAAAACTGAAGGGAACTGAAAAGCAGGATCAGAGCAAACCACCCAACCGGGCCACGCAGGTGCGCGGCAGAGACCCTTCCGGTCGCGGCCCTGCCCGTCCACGCGCCTCACCTTCTGGATCTGCACGGCCAGTTCTCTCGTTGGAGCCAAGATCAAAGCTTGGGTTTCACGAACCTGGTAAAATGGTATGTCAGAAAATAGAGAATCCTCAGTGTTTTCAAGGAAGACTGCCTGATTCAGACTCAATCTACTCTGAATATTATCTCACATTAACCGTACGTCTGGTATCTACAGGGAAGAGTGAACCAGCAATAATGGTAGTGTACTAGTCGGGTTCTTGTTTGCAGACCAGAATTTCCACTAGCTTAAAAATCTCCCAGTTGAAATAAAGAGGAATGCAGGACTGGGTATCAGTGAGCTCAGACGCTAGGGTGCAATTAAGAGTCTCTTAAAAATTTTTGTCGCGTCAGTACAACGGCAGACGTTTAAAAATTATACTTTCTGAACACTGCAGGTACAGAAGAAGAGGGCGTATTTCTCGGTACTAAAGAAAGGCTTGTTTGAAGAGCAGCAAGCTACCTGAATATCCAAACACTGGAGGACAGAGATACTGAAGGTGGCTGTTTTGCCTGTACCAGACTGAGATCTGTCGAAGGAAACACAAACGGGAGTTAGGGGTACAGGCTGCACGCCTCCCCTCCCATTCCTGTAACCCCCACGCGCAGCAGGGCCCCGAGGGGGCGGGCTAAGGGGGCACTGGGGCAGCTTCTTCCAAACAGACTGCCTCCCCACCCCAACAACAGATCAGCCACTTCTTGACTGAAAGGGGGAGGGGCTCAGGCACCACGTCACAACCTCTACAACACAGGGGACAGGCCACTGGATGGCTTTTCTATCCGGGGATGATGGAGCTGTAGAACCTCAACTCCAACAGGTGTTACAAGGGCCAGAGAAAAACAGATTCGTCCTTATATGACTATCATTCTTTTCTATGACTATGGACTAAAACCATCTGCCAAAAATAGTTTGTGGTTTATTTCTGGGAAACCAGTCTTTAAAAATTAGGCGATTTGGAAATCGGGACTAAAGCTATTCAAAAAGTATTACACATAATTCCACATGCCAGCTGACAGGTAAGTTAAGCTGGTTATAAAGTGAAAGCTTTCCAGAGTAGAGGACACAAAAATAAAGATGAACAAAACACCCCATAGCTAAAGTCAAGGAAAGAGTTGGTAAGGAATGTATGAGAACTGAGAGAAGCAGCCATCCCAAAGGATTTCCCAGGGGCTGCCGCACTAGCTAGCATCTGGGCCCCGCTCTGGAAGCACACTTACTGAGCAATGACGTCTCTCCCTTTAATTATTTGCTTGATAGCTCGCTGTTGGATGGCAGATGGTTTTTCAAAACCTGTAAAGAGAAACAGAAAAAATCAGCTCGAACCATTTAGATGGCATGTTTACAACCACACACTGGGAGCACCTGGGGATAGAGATGCATCTTTTTTTAACCCGCCATTCCTACCCCACCTAACCCAATGTCCAACATACTAAGCTCTCAAAACACAACTGCTGAATGAATTGGGCTGAAGTGAGTTTTTACAACTAACATGGGATCTTTTTTGTACAAAATAAGACAAAAGTCTCTGTAAAAGGGACACCACCGCAAAATACAGAGCCCCCAGTTATGTTTTAAAAAAATGTTAATGGTGATGCTCCTGAGAATGAGTGGGGAGGCTCACCTGTTACTCCAATTGCTTCTGTATTATTTGACTACATTACAATAACCTGCATTGTTTTTTTACGTTACTTTTTAAATAGAAAAAAGGGAAATCCTGTAACTGTGGCTGCCACTGTTTCCCATCAGCATTAAGTCTGCAGGCTCTTCCTGTGGTCTACAGCTGCCTGGGGGTCTCTGCAGGGTGTCCTGCACTGCACTCTTTTCTGAATCAATGCTCCTGCGTGGCTGCACCTCCCCACCTCTTGCTCAGGATCCCCAAGGTATGAGGCTACTCTGAAAGAGTCAAAGTATGTTGCAAGTAGACAAACAAAACTTTACATACAAAAATGTATTTCAATTATCTTTGGTAGTCTTTTACAATGTAGTATAATTTCCTATCCAACACAAAAGGAAACGCAACAGATGATTCATACCCCTCATGACAGCCAAGCACGTGGACGGGAAACTAAAAAGTGTTTTCGGCTGGGATGCCTTGGGTGCCAACAGGCAGGCAGGGCTGTCAGCCTCTCGAGGCCGGGCAGCAATGCTCATTATCACTCCCATCCCCTCACCAATTCTCTGTGCTCTGAACTGCCAGGACATCACAGACTGCTGGACAAAAGACGTCCCAGTCCCAGGCATTAAGTACAGACAACTGATGGCTCCCATCTGCAACCTAAACCCGACCTCTTCCCAGGCTCCCAACTTAAGACAACTGCCTCCCCAACATCTCCAATGGAGGCCTCAAAGGCCCCTCAAGCACCCCACCACCAAGACAGAGCTCCCGACTTGACCTTTCTCCAATGCTCCCCACCTAAGCAATGGCAACATCCCGCGCCTGGCTGCTCACAGCCCCCAGGACTCACGCATCCTCTCTCCTCTACAGTTCACATCCAACGGTCAGCAGCAGCCCTGTGAGTTCTCCAGCTCGAGACCGCCTCTCTCCCCTGGACCGGAA